CCCTCACCGCACCACCGCCAGCCCCAGCCGCAGCCGCCGCCTCGGTCGCAGCCGCAGCCTCAGCAGCCTGGGCAGAACAGTCTCCCCCACGGCGATCTGAACTTTAACCTGCCGTCAGATGGGCCGTTGGGTCCGGGGGCCCAGGATATGCCCGAACCCTCCCTGGATGTAAGTGTGTGGTGCTTCGTGGGCCAGCAGCTCCCTGGTACTGGCTCACATTCTCTGTTGCAGCTGCTGTCACCCCCCTCTGTGCTGTGTGCTGTCTCTCAGGGTAAAACTTAATTTACCCCCTGTCTCCTGACCTACACTCTAACCCTCTGTTGCCCTTTTGGGTAGATACCTTTACACCGGACTTATTACCAACCATATTAACCATTCTTATTAACCAGAAGAAAGTAACACTTGACTGTATAGCAGTAGATACGTTCACCACAACAAACAAACCTTGTCGAAGCTACCTGCTGCTGTGAACATGTACTAAAACAAAAGAAGATAAATAGGTGTCCAGGCTGAGTCTGTCTAGTACCTGTACATACTGTACATCCTGGTCTCTGACCAAGAAGTCATACAGGAAGTTGTCAGCGCCCTCCAGGGGAAGAACCTCCTACCATCAGATTACACGCTAGCCACAACAAACACAACAGCTTATATCTGACTGTGACAACAGTGTGAATGTGTCACCAGCAGTGAACAGGAAACAGTTGACTCAACAACAGGCTAACAACATAGTAACAGCAGTAGTTGTAGCAGCTGTAGTTGAAGTCAGCGGGTGAAGATATACTGACTTCCTCTTCCTCTCTGCCTTTGTTCCACAGTTGCTTCCAGAGCTGGCAAACCCAGACGAGTTACTGTCGTACCTGGACCCTCCTGATCTTCCAGCCAACAGCAACGACGACCTTCTCTCACTCTTTGAGAACAATTAGTCTCTTCCTCTCTCTCTCTCTCCCTCTCTCTCTCCCCTCCGGCTCTTAAACAAACCCTCCTGTGCCTACGGGGGAACGACGTGCTTGACTGTCCGTCCACAGACACTTCAGCGACCTCCAGCAGGCATTTCAAGCAGCTTCCTACACTCGCACACACAGAACACAGTCTCTGTGCAGATGAACTCCCATGGAGAAAAGCAGCGATGCCTCTTCTACCTAAAGATTTTTGTTTTTCTTTCCTCTAAAGCTCAGATGCACCAGTTCCACCACCACTGACTCCAAACACACCATTATCAGCCAGGTTTTGGCGGGCACTAAAGTGATATTATATACATATATAAATATAAATATATATATATGATATTTGTGACTTTTCAACAGAATACTGTGCAGCTATAATTGTTACGTGTAACAACACTGAGGACACTGAGGAGCCGGAGTGGGCTCCATCAGAAGGTGTTGCAGCTTTGTTTATGTTTTGTTGGTCCTTTTTTTTTTAAGTTATAATTTTCCCTTTGTTGGAAAAAAATTATTGGAGGGAAAAAAAAAACATTGACTGTGTTTTTATCCTGTTCTCTGAAATGTGTTCTTCCAAAACTTTGGCTCACGCCATATCCTTTGACCTCCAGACTTTCCAGTGTGTGTTGTATTTGTACTGTGTGTGTATGTGTGTGTGTGTGTGGAGTAACTGAAACTCTCCAAAATCAGAGCACTGACAGGTGAAGCTGAGATGTCCTCCAGTGTCGTCAGTGGAGCAGAGTTCACGGTGTGCAGCACAGAGTGTGTGTGTGTGTGTGTGTTAATGTTCATCTTTGTGTATGTTGACGTACGTTTGTTAATTTGTGAGATTTTATGAAAGACTGTGAGAAGAGAAACTCCGATCTGTCTCTGTCCTTTACTTCCATCCGGGCTACGTTCTGCGTTAGCGCTTCCTCATCCAACTCTGCATCGTTTTGCTCACAAGTGCGTGTGTGCCAACGGCTCCCCGTCGTCTTAGTCCGACCCTGATCAAATCATTGTTTTATGAATTATATATGTTATACCCTGAGTTCATCTCTCACTGTTTTCTGTTTTTGTGATTATTATGATTTCAGACATACAGTACATACACGTCACCAAAGCTGTTCTACGCAACGTCTCTCACTGTTTGTTTTTGAATGTTGTCCAATCAGCAGCAGGTAGACATTTCTTCATTGCATTTCATGGATTGTTGATCTAAGTGGACTCTTGGGTGAAAAGATTTTACTGAATGCTCCAGGTCTGGTTGTTACTGATGAGTTCACCTGTCCTCCATAAACATTAGACATCAGTATGTTTAAAAAAAAAACTAATGTCGTTGAAGGTGACGTCCCCTGTATGGTCCAACAGTGTCTCCAGAGCTGTTGTATATACAGTACTGTGTACCCCTCTACAGTACCCTGTCTGTATCTTCTTCAGAACTACAGAGTCCTGTATGTCCATCATAGACACATATCACCACTGCATTAAAATGAATTGACCCAGTCACTTGGAATTGGTTGTGGAGGTGTACTCTTCTAGGATTTATGTCACAAATCTTTACATGATATTACGTGACATAATTTCCTTGAAATAGTGAGTACCCTCTGATGTTAATCCTGCTCGCACCAGCGACTCTACGTCCTTTGAGTTGCAATACTGCTACCTACTGGATGTAATTGGTAATGATCAAAACAACTCCTCGTCACTTGCCAAAGAAAAGGGAATTCTAGAAAATACATACAGAGGGCAGCATCCCACCAGTTGAACACAGCACTCCTGAAGGGGCTAACTTATTATATAATTATAGTTTATATTGTTAGGGAAATCGCTGCATACTCCACCTTTAACTCCGGAGGTATTTCTGTGTACTGCAATTTAACTGAAGAAGGTAAACGTCCAGTTCAGTTGCCTGATACAACATTTAAGCTTTTAATAACCATATTTAACAAACAAAATATGTTATTATGACTTGTGTATTTTCATCATATCATACATGGTTTTAAAGTTCAAGTTAATAACGTTCTGCCAGTTCTGGTAACCACAGATGTCACAGAATTGACACAGGTTAAGGTTGATAAATAAATAAATAAATAAAAATCCAGTGTGCTGCAGGCCCCTCCCCCCAACTGGAAGAACCAAATATTGCTTAACAATTTTATCAAATACCTTGTATTAAAAAAAAAAAAAAAGACAGTAAAGGGATCTGATGTTGTTTGTCGTTTTATATGTTTGTCA